TTATACACTTCAGCTTTTGGCCTTTTTACAAATGGCGGACGATTGTTATGAACAAAAAAAAAAGCGGCTTTACTTTTTGTACAATAAAATCCCGTAAGTTAGACATTTAGTTATATAATACCGTAGCGTGGGGTAATTGAGCACCATTTTTGAAGCTTTTAATTAAATGAAATAAAAACTTGTCGAAAATTTTAAAAAGTGAGATATGTTATTTTAGTACTATATTAGGTCTATCATTTAGGAAGGTTGAATTAAAAAAAAAATTCCAGCAAAGAGTTAATGACACAAAATATGTGGGTGCGCATTTACCCCACGATTTGGGGTAAACGAGCACCTTAATATCTTTTTTATAAACATATATATATATATATATATGTTTCATAAACATATATATGTATATATATATATATGTATATATATATATATATATATATATATATATATATATATATATATATATAAATATATATATAAATATATATATATATATATATATATATATATATATATATATATATATATATATATATATATATATATATATATATATATATATACATATATACAAATTTGGGAGAGTTCTACGCGGATATAGCTTTTTAACGCGGAGATAGATGCAATAATAAATCTATATTTTATATTGAATATTGATTTAATTTCATGTTATAAAAATTATTGACAGTATTTTATCAAAAGCATCATACTTTGTATGTGTGTGCGCGCGCAAAAGATCCTTATCTGACACTCAGTCCCATTTTTGGGTCATCCTGGCCCCCTGCAAAAAATTAAATCCAAAGACAAACAATGCAGCAGACGAATTTTCTTTATCTAATCTAATATTCTTTACCTAGCATTCAAATAAACTTAGATATTTTTTATTTGTATGTTGAACATAATCAAATGGAACAATTTTTTTTTATTTCAATTTTCATAATTTATTAAAAAAAAGGTTTCTTGTGTATTAAAAAAATAAATAATCCAGATAAACTAACCGGACTTCCTATCACCCTGACTCATATTATATACATGGGTGATAGATGTGAACACTAGTATAAACTTACATAAGTTTAAAGTTGGTTTAAGTCAACTTTCTCAAACATAAAATAAACAAATGAAAAAATAGTCTAATATATTTTGTTCAAACTTTATAACAAAATAAAATAAAAAAACATAAATATATGATACAGATATATCAACGCATATATAAGTCACCAATGATTTCTTTTAAAAAAGATATGTTTTTTTCATATTGGGGACAAGGAAGCTGTTTAACAATAGATTTGCTTTCTGTTAATAAGTAATCAGGAACTTGCGGTTCTTTGAAGGAAATGATTTTTGGGTTTGAAGCATCAAAATCTCGTCTAAAGTATTTAATGTTCCAATTATTATCTTCCTCTGAATTTACAACTTGGCCTACAAAATGATATGGTATCTTTTTTCCTTCAAACCTTACAATAACATAAGAACCCTCTACTAATGGATATTTAGAGGTTACAACCATACCAGAATCATGTACTTTTTTATTAGAATTAGGATCTGATTCAAAGCTCTTTTTTAAGCAGTCTTCAAGCTTTCTTTGGATATGTGTTTGCTTTTGATGGAAAATGGAACCATAAAGGCCAGAAACACCATTATATAAATTACTTTTTTTAGCAAATAAATCTTTTTTTTTTAACGTTTTACTTTTGACTTTCTGTATACCCTCAAATTTTTTTGCAGAATCTTCTTGTAGCTTTATATACATCTTGGAGCTGGAAGGCATATCATAATCGATAATATCTTTAAAACTATCCAAATCTACTGAAGAAGTTATTTTATCTAAGGAGTCATTCAAAAGGATATTTTTTATTTTGATTAGCTTGCGTTTTGATTGGGATTTTAAAACAGAAGAAACTGCAACATCATCCAGTGAAACACTTTTTCCCGGTGAAACCTTGACTTTTTTCCCATGCAACACTGCCCCAGGCTTTTTAGCTGATGCTTCTCTAAGTTCTTTAAGACGTTCAAGAACTAACGGGGATACTAAGTTTTGAGAGGATGTAGAAATGTCTGCTCTTAAAATCTTATCAATAATTTTTTTTCTGTTTAGCGGGTAGATACCAGATGTTTTAAACCCATTTACAGCAAACTCTTGTATGTGGTCCATATTAGATATTAGATTAAGGAGCAATCTCGGGAAAACATTTTTTGGTAGGGATGTATGAAACCTACCTTCCCCAATTTTCCATGCAGTAAGCACTTTTCTCCATGTTGATTTCATGGGTCCATAAACTGCAAGATCTAGAGGTTGTAGCAAATGTATACTGTTTGGAGGTAAAAAGACCATCATAATATTATTAGCCTCACAAATTTCTATAACCTCAATAGACAAATGGCATGCTAAATTATCACCAATGAGAATTTTTGGTGCGTCATTGTCAACATGTCTGAAGTAAGGTATTACTAATGTTTTCATCCAATCTATAAAACAGTGACTATCAAACCAACCAGACTTTGTTCGGTTATATCGTGCACCCATTGGACCTCCAAGTATCCATGTGTCCATTAGACGCTCAGCTTTATACACTGTATATGGAGGAAGAAATACACCATCAGCAGAACATGCAAACATAATCAACACTGATGACTTTGATGTATTCATAACTTGTTCAGCATGTTTAGTACTCTTTCGGAATATCATTTGTTTTGATTTTGGGTCATCAGAAAGATTTGTTTCATCATAGTTTATTATATTTTGAGGCAAAATATTTTTTATAGTTTCTTCTAAATTACTAAAAAATCTATTTACAGAATCACATGAAACTGCAGAACGTTTTCTACAAATATTTTGACATGCTCGATAAGATAGCAAATTTTTATGTTGTTTTAAAAATGATCTCTCCCAATCATTACCAGGCAAATTTTCTTTAAAATATGGGCAATCCCTATCAGATTTTTGAAGAAAACTTTGTATAAACAGCTTTAGGTCTACTATTTCGAATGCATAGCCAAAATCACTGAAAGTCGCAATGTATTGAGCAATTGTTACTTCCTCTTCTGGTAACAATGCACTCCTTCGACCAACCACACTAAATTTTCTTAAACCACTAACATGACATCTTAGAGTTCTGTGTGGTATGTTCAATAGCCTTGCCACACGTTTACAAGATTCTCCATCATTAACAAGTTCTACTGCTTTTTTAAGTTAATAATCTGTGTAGGTTTTGAAAAGTTTTTGTTTTGATTTTACGTAGTTTCTCACCATTTTATCAGATATCTAATATGTAAAAGGAAAACATATATGCTAAAAATTTAAATTATTTGCACCTTTAGATATTTATTTCATTAACAATAGTATTTAAAGGGTAAAAAACAGCTACTTGAAAAGGTGCTCATTTACCCCAAATAAAAGTGCTCAATTACCCCACATTACTTTAAACAACATTATTCTATTAACAATTCATTTATGAGACTTTAAAACGAATTTACCTCAACATATGTATAGTATACTACAAAAAATTCAAAACTCTAAGAAGGTTTTAACTAAAACTGCTTACCCTTAGTATTTCCAGTTATTAGTTTTTACGGAATTTTATGATTCTGCATCGTGATATATTTAAAATGTTATCAGCTATTTATTTTTGACCAAAACTGTTGTAATTAGCAACATACAATTTAAAAAAGTTAATTTAAATATTTAAATTTTGAAAATGATCTAAGCATTGATATTATCTATTTTATATGACTTTTAAAATTAAAATGTTTACGGGTGCTCAATTACCCCAGAAAGTGCTCAATTACCCCACGCTACGGTATATCATTGTTTGCAATAGTTAAATCAAAGTTCAGAGCCGTGGCAAGGCTACCTACACCCCTATAGCTAGCAGAGCCGTAGCAAGGTAAATTATCAAAACCCCGAAACCCAGCGAAATTAGGAGCTCTTTTTAAAGTTAAAGGAACTTTTCTTTAATTTTTTTTTAATACACAGTGGAAAAATTTTAGGATTTTGATGCTCTCTGACAGTTTTTTTTTTTTTGGGAGGGGGGGGGGGTGAGGGGCTCTGACCACTAGCCACGGAACTGATGGCAAGATAACTCTCAAAAGAGCTTGTTTAAAAGAACAAATTATCTTTCAATTCAAATTGTTTCACTATTGAACATTTCTTTTTATAATTAAAAATTGTTTAAATATAAATAGTTTTTTTTGAGGTCAGTACTTTTTGAAATTTCATGCGGCGTTAGACAAAGTAGTTTGCAGAAGTTTTGTTTTATGTTAAATATTGTACGCCTGATAACAAATTATGCCTACAATAAGTTATTAAAAGTTCTTTATTTAATTGCTCAATGTGAAGCAAAAAAAGCTCGACCTGAATCCCTAACTCACACTGTCATGACAGTGTGAGTTAGGGATTCAGGCTGACATGTCAGCAGAACTAATAAAAAAATATATATATTTTACATTTTTAAATCTTTTTGAACAAGAATTACAACCACATATAAAGAATTAATTTAAACAAAAGATTTTTTTTCATGACAACTGTTGCTGTGGTAACAGGAAAAAAAAAAGTTTTTTTTATGGCTGTTTTACATTCTTCAAGAAAAACCGATGAATGATGAAATAATAATAATAAAAAAATTGACTTTAAGTGGTCAAATAGTGACTAGCAAACAACTAGCCAAGGTCGATACTTTAGAAAATGGTCAGGGCCAGGCAACATTACATTCCTACTTGTTACAACAATGTTGGTTAGCTTGTCGATTGGTTCACTGATTAACTAATAAGCAAAATTCATATGAACTGATTAAGGTGCGAATATAAGTTCACTGGAGATCTACTAAATTTTTTTTTTTCATTGGGGGAAGGGGGATTCAGCTAATTCCAAAATAAGTAGTGATTGTGGTGACAACTACTTTCTTTAGTCGTTAAGCGATAACAAAACAGGTATGAAAACTATTTATTTAGAAAATCAATTTTCAAAGAAATAAAAATAGAGCGCACCGCCATTAAAAAAAAGACAAATGTACAATAAAAATATTATTTTTTCGATTACAATCGCAATGTTGTAACAACGTAATCGCAATGTTGTAACAACGTAAACAAATGTATCAATTGTTTAATATTTTAAAAAGAAACATAAAATTACATCTTTTTTACTGAAGAAAAATAATTTTACTGAAAGTTAAAGAAAAATAATTTTCGAAAAATATTTTCAATAAATTATAATTGCTATTAAAAATAAGAATAAATAATTGTAATAAAAAATTTGCCAGGAATGCAAGAAAGAATCGCAAGAAATTAACTGAAAATTTATAAAGAAAGAATAATGTATGAAATAAAAAAAAAAAAGTTAAATAAAAATAGTTATGTATAAAGATTCTCAGGCGATATTAAAATAAATACTTTTGTGTAAAAAAATGTATTACGTAGCGGAACTTAATATTTTATTTACAGTTTCTTTGTCCGACTTCGATATTAAAAAAGATAATCGATCTCCAGCTTTTTTTATAATATCCATTGCCCTATAATGTAGACAATAGTAACAATGTAAAAAATAGTAACAACGTAAACAATGGTAACAACGTAAACAATAATAACGTAAACAATAGTAACAACGTAAACAATAGTTACAACGTAAACAATAATAACAGCATAAATAATAGTAACAAAGTAAACAATAGTAATAACGTAGACAATAGTTACAATGTAAGCAATAGTTACAATTCAACAAGAGATATTCCATTCACACCTAGCAGACAGTGCAGAGACTTCCGCAATGGCTGACGCTTTTATATAACGATTTTATAAATAAATTAAAAAAAAAAAAAAAAAGAAAGATAGAGAAAAAAATAATAAAATAAGAAAAATAAATATAAAGAGAGTGAAGATAAGAAAAAGAAGGAAACGAAAAAGCAAAAAACAAACAAAAAACCAAATCAAACAAACTAACAACAACAACAAAAAAAAGCATAAAAAGAAACGAGAAAAAAAAAAAAAAGACAAAAATCCAAAGTAAATGAAAAAACATTAGAAAATGAAAAGTAATTAAATGCAATTAAAATAAAATATAAAAATTGCTCCGTTTTTGAAGAAACGTAAAAGAATATTTTTTAAATTTTATTAATTTTGAGGGACGTTTGTCTTTTTTGTTGTTGTTTTTTGTTTTTGTATTCTTCTGTATTGTTAATTGGGCATTGTAGAGTATAACTCATTTTGTTTGCATCGTATGTTTTTTAATTTAAATTTTTTTAATTTTATGTTTGTTGGACATTTAAAAAAATGTATATATTTTTAAAGCTGTATATGTATCTATATGTGTATGTATACATAGCTATGTGAGTGCATGTACGCACGCGTGTGTATTTACGTGCAAATATGTATCTATGCATCTGAGTAAGTATGTGTATATATCTTTATATTTGTGTTTGTGTGTGCATGTAACAAAATTAAACTTTATCATTTTTATTAATGCTTTTTTGTTTTTCTTTATTTTATTTTTAATTTTTATCATGTTTTTTGTTATAGTTTTATTTCTTTTAATTTTAAATATTTATCGTAGCCACAATTATTACTATTTTTAACTTTACTATCAATATTCATATTTTATTATTTTCAATTTAAATAAATATTTTATGTTCTTGTTAGTTGTTACGTTTTATCAGTCAATTGTTGGTAACTAACTTATATGTATATTTAACTATTGTGTTTATAAAAACAAGTGACTTATTATTTGATTATTTTTTTAATAGAATTAATATTATGATTGTTATGTTGTTGTTTGTTTTATTATTATTGGGGTTCTTATGTTTATTACAATAAATATTATTTTTATTATTATATTTATTATTCTTACAATTATTACTAATTATATATATAAAGATCTATATTTTTGGTGTTTACTTGATATTAGTAGAATTACAATTTGTAAATATCCATGAAATTATTTTTCAGAATATATATATATGATATGATATGGTAAACAATAATAACAACGTAACCAATAGTAACAGTATAAATAATAGTAACAACATAAACAATAGTTACAACGTAAACAATAGTAACAACGTAAGCAATAGTAATAACCTAAACTTAATCATTCAATTACATAAAAAAAAAAAAAAAATTATTTAAACATTAAAAATGACAAACATACCGTGAGCATATTAGGGAAACCAACTAAGTTCATTTTTGACAGTATTGCGTTATTTGTACCACTCTGTAGTATTTCATGTTTTCTCCCATTTGGTATGCTACACATCCTTATAAGTGAGCATGTTGATGAGTTACTACAGCTTTCATTTCAACTAAGTCACAAATTCAATAATTATTTTCAAACTTTTAAGTCAATTACCTCAAAATGAGGTTTTCAGACATAGTTGATTTCCCTTGTATGCCCTTAAACAAAGTATGATTTAAAAATAATAAAAATACTGATTATAGTCACATCCAACAAGAGATATTCCATTCACACCTAGCAGACGATCACCAATACTTAAACGGGGGTCCTTTTTTAGTAAAAATATAAGTAGCATTAAAAAAGCAAAAGCAAAATGTAAAAAAAAAGTATAATAAAAAAAAACTTACCCTAGAAGCTGGTGTATCAGGTACAATAGTACGAATATATATAGCATTTGTTTGCAGTGCTGTGAACTGAGTGAAAAAAAAATATTACTAATAAAAATAATTATAATAGTTAATGATATTTAATAATGATATAATAAGAATATTTCAACAGAATTACTCACCATTGCATCGATGAGACCTAAGCCTAAACCTTTGGCACCTCGCACTAATTCTACAGAATATTCATTTTTATTGTTGGCAACTTTTTTTTCAGATTCTAATAAATTTCTAGCTTTATTGACTAACTCATCAGTATTTTCCACATTATGAAAACCATCAGTATTATAATAATTCCCTAAAACTTGATTGGATGAAGTTGGATTAGAAGTTTTGTTTCTTACGCTATTAATGTCTGAAGAATATTTTACAGTGTTTTTATTTGACTGAATTTCACTGGATATTTTACTGTCATTTTCACTGGATATTTTACTTTCAGTCATTTTTTCATTTACAGTAATGCTGCGACGTCTGTTATCTGCAGAAGTTTCCACCTAAATATAAAACAAACACTTTAGGAAAATTGCGAGGATTTTTATGCTTTAAACATAAGTTATTTTTTATGAACAAAATGTTCAAATAATATTTTAGTAAACAATTTGTAAATTAATATATAACCGGTTGATTTTTAAGAGCCTCCTTTACTTCTATACCATTAATATGACTTTTTGTGCGTTCTTTCTTCGAATTTACAGGCCCTTTTCGGAATGATTCATTTTCTAACAAAAACAATTTACAGTCTTGATCTTGATTTATTTAAAAAATTAGAGCAAAGCAACAACTTTAAAAAAATGTTAAAGGAAGGAGATAACACAAAAAAAAAAAAAAAAAAAAAAGTTAAAAATTTTCAAAAGTTTAACAATATTTTCACGCAACATTTTTTTAAACTACTTTTTTTTAAAAACAATAAATTTGTTTATCTATAACTTTTTTGTTTTAAATTAATATTTACTCTTAACAATTTATATCAGTATTGTTCACTATTTCATGGGCAAATTTTATACCGATCATGTTTTCATTATTGATGCTTCAAGTTCTATAACTGAACTATCTTTTTTTGTTAACTTTATTATGTTTCAATAAAGTGCAGTGTTATTTTTCATTATAAATAAGTTCTTGTGTATGAATACCATTTATTTTATTTTCTTTAATATACTCTATAAGCATTTTGAATTGCTTTAACAAGTTCATTGGAGAGTGCATCAACATGATATTCTAGAAAAATTTTTACCTCTGATACCTGATACCTGATAAACTTGGAAAACCAAACATGTAAATCAAACTTGCTCAGCATCTTCAGCATAACTTTTTTTTCAAAATCTATCATGTACTATGTGGAGAGCACATTAAAGCCACTGCTATAAAGATCAGCAGTTAACTTCCAAATGGCTTTGGTAATGTCAGCTAACCATCTGCTTAAATATTAAAAAAGCAATCTCATGGTAAATCATGTCTTTCATTATGATGTAAAGTTGTTAGCATTATCTTGTCAAAATTATGCTAATAATGAACAACCATGTTAAATGTTTTGTAACAACTTAATTCCTTTTTTCTGACAAAAAACAACATAAAAAGTTCTATTGTTTTCTTTGCTGCGTTGTTTGTTAAAACATAAAGTTAAATCAATTTGTTCTTGCAATGTTGTTAATTTTTTTCATCATTTTAAACTATTAATTATATGGAGCTTTTTAATTGAAGGTATTTGCTTGGTTTTCTCCAAATTTAACCTTTCCAAATTTATCAATGTCATGTTTCAAATATTTAAGATGCAGAAATGTTGTGTACAATGTTTTGATATTCATCTAGAATGTTTACTTCTATGCAAAAAATTTTAAAAGTATTACCAACAATACCATGGTCTTAAAAGTATTACCAATAATACCATGGTCTTAAAAGTATATCATAATCTTTTTTCACACTAACAAATAGTTATGGTTATAAATATAACATTACAAATCAATCTTAAATAATGAAAAAAACAACTTTAAATTGAAAAAAAAATTACAAAAAAATGGGGAAAAAAAATTGAAAAAAAATATTAAACAAACAATAAAAAGGCCTATAAAAAAACATGCAAGTTGGTAAGAAAAACATGCAAGTTGATTAGAAAAACATGCAAGTTGGTTAGGAAAACATGCAAGTTGTATGCAACTTTTCATGTTTTTCTAACCAACTTTCCAACCAAGCATGCAACTTTATAAATCTAAAAGCAAATAATTCAGAACCTTTATTTTTAAAGCCTCCATTTCGAAAAAGATCATAGAAAATGAAGAAATCTTCACTGTCTGGATCCTTGCTGAGATCCATCACAAAACCATCAGAAGGCAGAATCAGTGGTGGATGCGTAGCGAAACTTTCAAGAACATCAGCTAGAAAATATAAATATCTAAATAATTTAAATACAAATAAAGCATACAATTAGAATAACAAAAGAGTTTAAAAAAATAAATAAATAGTTTATAAAATTGAATTTTGATTACTTACATGATCTTAAGGCCGGTTCAATTTCATGAGGCGGAGGATACCATAGTCGTGGTCGAGGTTTACCACCTAAATTATACTCAGCAAGTAATTGGTGCAACTGAGCAGCATTAAGTGAAGGAAACCTTTCACGCAAAGATGTCCAATCCATCTACTTAATTTAAAATTATAAGTATAAAAAAATAATGTTTAAAACTTATTTTAAAACATTTTTCTATATTTTCTTCATTGTTGTCACTGAGTTTGTTATTTTTTCTATGTTTGTCACTGAGTTTTTTTTTTGTACTTTAGCAAATATTTCAATATTAAAATATTTCATATACTTTTAATTAGAAATAAAAAAATTTAAAGATACAGTTTTGTACTTTTGAAAAAATTGTTTTTTAAATTCATAAAATCACACAAAATGATTGGTTTCACAAAATTACAACTTTTGATTGTAATATTATAAGGAAAACATTTAAGTAAAAATTGCATAGGACAAATACATATATCATGGAAAGATAGATACAAACATATTTATATTCATTATAATTCTTAAAATAACCTCTAAATATTAGGGGTTTTTTTCTGCATGAAAATTAAAAGTTTTTCTCATAAAAAGCAAATTATAAAAAAAAAGATTGCTGCCCCAACCTTAGTACCCAAATCCTTAGTGGATGTAGTAGTATTCCCTTGCATGTTCTCCCTGTCTGTGCCTCTGGTGTTCAGATCACTAAAAGCACAGACAGGTTTCTACAGCACTTTGTGTTGTTAACATATTTTTTTAAAAACAACTAAGAAAGATCATCTCATTGTTTCTGTTTGAAGTACTCAGTGTCAAAAAAGATCTAAATTCTTGTCGTCAACTGCCAAAACACTACTACTAAATCAAATATTGATGAAAAAAACCCACTACTAAATCAAATATTGATGCAAAAAAACCCACTACTAAATCAAATATTGATGCAAAAAAACCCACTACTAAATCAAATATTGATGAAAAAAACCCACTACTATATCAAATATTGATGCAAAAAAACTGGTTTTTGCCTAAAAATACAAAGATTAGATCCATCAACAGCAAGGAGAAATAATGTTTTCTTAAGAAAGCATTAATGGTTGTTAGACAACCATTAAGTATAAACTATTACTTCAATAAGTATCTGAGACAATAAAACACTCTGATTATATAATGACTTAGGGTTACTCTTTCCTGACCATATATTGCTTTATTTCTACTGTTTTTAAAAACATTTTAAAAATGTGTCAAAAAATTAAGCAAAACACTATTAGAATAAAAAAATCAACTACCCCTCCCCTTGCCACCACTACAATCGCAGCAGTTGTTATAGCTTTTTTTTAACCTTCATAAAGGTTTGTGTTTCTACACAGAGAAACAAGCTTAGAGTACTACCAGGGATGTTGATATATATAACATATATAGACTTGGAAAAGTACAATATATGTATAAAGGACTTTTATTACAAAAAATTACTTTTTTATTATTATTTTATTTATGAGTATATATGTTTGCGTGTGCTTGTGCATGTAAATTAGTAGAAAACTACTTATTAATTTTTTATTTTACAGAGTGTTTCATTAATTCATTAATAAAGTCTCATCAACAAGTTTTCTAATGAGCCACTTATCAGAAAATTTGATGATGACACTTTGCAAAATAAAAAAATTTAATAAGAGACATTGAGCACTCTTCTATATATCTAAACTATATATTATAATATATATATATATATATATATATATATATATATATATATATATATATATATATATATATATATATATATATATATATATATATATATATATATATATATATATATATATATATTGAAATTAGGGTCAGCATTTGGCAATGATTCGACCTAGAAATGTCTGAGGTCAGCAAAAAATCCCCAACCTCACAGATTAAGGTGGGCAAATAATTGCTGACCTTATTTTTCCTGACTCTGAGGGCTGTTTATATAATATATATATATATATATATATATATATATATATATATATATATATATAATATATATATATATATATATATATATATATATATATATATATAATGTTAGTGTATTATACAAATAGAGTGCTCAACGTTTTTAAAGAACAGAGCAATAATAAATTAGTAAAAACACTTATCAAATTTTTTTCTTCAATTACTTCTTTCTCCATCAGTTGTTCATCAGGAAGCATAATACCTTCCTTTATTTCCTGTGAAAGATGTAATATGTTTCAAGTATTGATCCTTCTTCACTTCCTGATGAACCTACTGATGGAGAAACAAGTTGTTGAAGAAAAAAACCAGATAAGTGTTTTTACTAATTTATATATACATATACATATATATATATATATATATATATATATAATATATATATATATATATATATATATATATATATATATATATATATATATATATATATATATATATATATATATATATATATATATATATATATGTATATGTCTTTGTGTAGTAGTCAAAAGAGACTTTAATGGTAATAAAAACAGTCACATTCAAAATTTTTTATAACATTTAAGCAACATTTTAGTGTTATTTAAATGTTAAAACAATTAATAAAATGCAGATGTACATTAGGTTTGATCGTTTTCTAAAAAAGCACATAATTATGAATAAATTTTTTTTTTATTTATTGGCTTTTTTTTTTTTTGTTGCTTTAAAATTTTTAAAACATGCAAACAGTGTTGCTACATTAACTGAAAAATAGTTAAAACATGTGACTCTAAATGATAAGAAAAGACATATATAAAAAAAAAAATGTAAAACACACTGATTACTTCAAGGAAGCTTTTAGCAAATAGAGCATAATAAAAAAGTAAAAGTAGAAAATTTAGAGAAAAAAGTAGAAAAAAGTAGAAGTAGAAAATTTAGAGAGAGTGCATTACCTATAACATGAAAATTTTTAGTTAAGAAAGGAAGATGCTCATGGCGTATATTAGAGAGTTTTTTTCAGCTATTTATAAAAGCTAATTCTTCTTTTATTACTAATAATAAAACTTTACATATTGATCAAATAAAAAAAAAACATCACCTGAGTGAGTTCTACTATTGAACATGCAAGCAAATCAACTGCATTTATTATTTTAATCATATACTTGTCAAACTGCGCTATTAACCCATTAAACTGTGCCCAAGACTCTAAGTATTCAAGATTGGTACGCATTTGCACACCTTTTGCCCATTGATAAAACTTGCCACCAGTTCCTTTCTCCATTAATGTATTAAACAAAGAGGCATTTGAGAAGAAAAATAGATATGCAAACAGTTGTTGTGTAATTTGTGTGTGAACCTGAAATTCTTTAGCAGCTTCAAGAACTTTTGAAAAAATAATTGTAATTTTTTCAACAGATGAATGAACATTTGATTCCATTTTGTCATTTGCAATATCAGAACTATCATTGGACCGGAAAGGATTAGAGTCAATCACAGAGGGCAAAGTAGCATACAAAACCTAAACAAATAAAAACAACTTTCAATAAAATAAAAAAATGCAACTTTATAATTTAAATAAACTATTTCACTATAACTTTGTAAAAAACCTACACAAGAGTCTTTAAAGTCATGTACAAGAGTATATTTATTCTATAATACTTTGTCATTATAACATGTCATTTATATAATCTAAAGCAATTCTACAATATTTGGTGGCGCTCTGTGATAAGACCAATAGGCCTTTTTGGATTCCTTTAATCACATAAAAAACTAATGGACAAAAATTTAAAATAATTTAGCAACTTGCACATAGAAATAATCTATATTTGGGTTTGATATACACCCAGGCTTTTCCTCAAAAGTTCATATTAATTTTTTTCCCTTAAAGTTTTATATTAATTTTTTTCACAAAAGTTCATAATAATTTTTCTAAGAAATAGGAATTTTTTTAAGAAATTTTCCTAGTTGGAAAATTTTAGAAACTAAAAAAAAATCACAGATCTTACTAGTTAAAAATAATTAAAAAGTTAAAATTTTATGATTAATTTTAACATCAATTTATTATAAATGTTAATATCAATTTACTATAAATGTTAACATCATTTTATGATTAATGTTAACATCAATTTATTATAAATGTTAACATCAATTTATTATAATTATTAACATCAATTTATGATTAATGTTAACTCTACCAGAACACATAAATGGAAAGCTTACTGTCTCAGAAACCAGAAATGGAAAGCTTACTGTCTCAGAAACCAGAAATGGAAAGCTTACTGTCTCAGAAACTAGAAATGGAAAGCTTACTGTCTCAGAAACCAGAAATGGAAAGCTTACTGTCTCAGAAACCAGAAATGGAAAGCTTAATGTCTCAAAAACCAGAAATGGAAAGCTTACTGTCTCAGAAACCAGAAATGGAAAGCTTACTGTCTCAGAAACCAGAAATGGAAAGCTTTCTCATAAAACTCAGAAGTATGATAAGAGTTTTATTTTCAAATTAGTTTAAATTACAACTTGAAATTTTGTAGGTAGATTTATTTAAAGTATTCTAAGGGGGCATCCATAATGTATGTACATACTGTAAAACCACTGAACATGGTATTTTATATCATTTAAACATGGTATTTTATATCATTTAATAACTTCAAAGTGAAACAGTCTGTTATGCATGTATTTAACATTTAAACTTATAAAATTTACATTTCATAATTTCTGTTAACATTATTTTGCTTTTCATTATAACCAACATAATCAGATAATCAAGTTGCAATTTACAAACACAAACTTTATAAGTGTTATTTTTCACTTGTGTTATAATTTGATCTTGATAATCCTAAAAATCTATGATTTGATTTTGATAATACTAACAATCTTTTTAGAATAATTACCAGTGTTTTAGTGATTACTGTTGATGTATGCTTTTTTCTAAACTCAACATTTTTTTGGAGTTCATACTTTAATATTGTTAGATGACATTTCTTTTTGGATTTCATACTTTAATATTGTTAGATTTCTACGAAACAAAGTGTAATATTTACTCACTTTTTTCTCCTTAAGATCTTTATTTTTTCCACTGGACCCTAAATCTAATTTTTCATTTGAAAAAAGTTGCATTAAAGTATAAATAAAATTTATATAAGTAAATGTTATTATTTAAATATTAGATAAAGGTAAAGGATAAAGCTAATTTGTAATGCATCAATTAATACAACTTTTTAATTAGTCATTACATCATTATATGATTTATATCATCTTTTATATCATTTATATCATTCTTTTTTGTATTTTTTCTTTTTTGGCCTAGCAGTTGTTGAAAAGCAACGAATGAATCATTAAATAAATTATAAAGATCATTAAATCAATATTAAAATCATATAATACTTGTAGCACCATTGTTGCATTGTTTGTTTATTTAATCATCATTTAATCACCATTGTTGTTTATTTAAATCTCTACACTGTAGAGATTTAAATAAAGAATCTGTACACTGCCAGCACAATTTTTATTTATTTTCTTTTTACCTAGATAGCATTTTACCTTCATGTTTTAGATATAAAGACCTCTCGTCACTCGTTACATAACCTATCTTCTATTCGCTCTTTTAAGACTTAACTCATTAGACTTAACTCATTATGCTTAATTCTACGCACTACCCTGCTTTATTAGTTCTACTTAAAATAATGATGAAATGTACGTAAACAACTTTGAAAGAATATAAATTAATTTTTGCTTTAGTTTTGTGCTTTTATACTGGACATCTGTCCAAACACTTTGTAATAATTTTTAGCTAACTCTGACTCTAATATAATCCTTGCTCTTTCTTCACTGAGGCTCCCACGGCTGCATGTGTTCCAGTATAGTAACAGATTTTCGAGTCCAGTTATGAATTATAAACAATTACAGAGATAACAAAATAAAATCTGTAGTACAGAGATTCTTGACTTAAGATTTATTTTTGGACTTGCATACTTTTTTTAATTATCTCTACATATATTTTTATTTGACTTGCATACTTTATTTTTATCTCAACACATATATATTTTTTTGAGCTTGCATACTTTATTCCTATTTGGCTTGCATACTTTATTTTTATCTCAATATATATATATTTTTTTGAGCTTGCATACTTTATTCCTATCTTGCTAACAAAAGAAATTCATTCAAAAATATATATAACTTGAAAATTTGTATTGGTATAACTAATTTTAATAAATTAAAAGCATACCTTAGTGACATGATAAACAGTTTGCTGAAATGTAAACATTATAACTTCTTCTAATACAGTAAGTAACTCATCATCGGCAGATAACAATGCTTCTTTGTTGGTAGTCACCATTGTACGAGGTAAGAGATAGCTGCTCATTTTTCCTTGTAAAAAGTTGAGCATTTCTATTGCACTTGACATCCAAAACAATACAGGTTTTAATTCAGGTAGCAAATACTTCAACATAACCAAAGGGTCTTCATCCCTATTCAGAAAGATTTTATCTCATTTTTCACAACAAAGGCACACACTCACAAGTTAAGTAACCACACATTAGCACAAATAAAAAAAATAATAAACATTGAAAATAAATATTAATACTTTATATTTTTTTTCCCAATTTCTTTAGTCTTTTCCTAAATACAAAAAGAAATTTTCAAACTTGATTTGTTATTATTTAAATGTTAATTGGCTGGTTTAAAAACCAAAGCTTATTCTATTTAAGTGTTATATGGTAAATATCCATATAACACTTAAGTAGAGTAAGCTTTGATTTTTAAACAGAAGTGCACAGTAAAAATCATTATTTTTTTATAGATTTGGCACTGCACTCTCCTAGCTAAAAACTGGCAATGGCAACCCTATACAAAAGATATATTAAACCTTGTCTTGGATCATCATGCACATTATATAAATTAAATTAGATTTTTTTATTCATATAACTTAAATTTTATTAGTAATTAATAAACAAAAAATATATAAAAATTACTTTTACAGATTTAGGTCCTAAATGTCCTAATATATTTTGTACACTTTAAGAATAAAAATATTAAACTGAAAAAAAAAAAGAACAATGAAAAAAAAAAAATTTATTAAAAGTCCTTCATAAATATTATCCCTAAAATTTTATTAAAAGTTTTTCATAGATATCACCCTAAATCAAGTCTTATTGATAATACCATTCAGTTCAATATCATTAACTATTTTTATTAATACTGATACTATTATATAATTTTATATCATTAATAATATCGTTAATATCAACAATGTATTTTTATTAATACCGATATCATAATAATATAAATAATATAGAACTATTATTAAATAGTTCTATATTATTTATATTACTAATATCAATAAAAAAGTAAATATTTGTATGATAGAAATAAATAAAAGAAAAGTGTATAGAAAAGTGAATATTTAAAAAAAAAAGAGTAATTATTTAAAACAATTTAAGATTATCAAAAGATCAAAAAGCCATTAAAAAAAATACCCATGCAATTCTTTGCAAACCGCTTGATATCTTAAGTAAAAGTTTTCTGGTCTGCAATTCTGTAAAAGTGGCAGCAGAATGTTCAATGACCATCATGAAAAAATACATTGGTGTTAACTTGAAAGCTATAACAAAACAAAAAAAAAACATACTTGGATTAAATAAGCATTTTATTAATTGGTTCTAGAGCATAAATATTATTAAAGTTTTTGAAAGCATATAACAAGTACAAAAGTATATAACAAGAGTACAAACCTCCAAGATCTGAATCAGCAATATCTAAAATCATATTAAGAACTTCATCTTCATTTTTAATATCATAACTCATTTGTAAATAACTCTTTTCAACTTCCTTACGAGGAGCTAAATACTGAATTTCTTCTTCTTCAGAGCTGCTATCAGAACTGCTTTCATTTTCTGTAGAATCTTTTTCATCTGAAGTAAAAACTTGATTTGTGGTTTGAATAGACTTGGTGACATGGTTGATGGTAGCATAGTTGGCATTTGATGGCTGAGTGCTATTAGGTTTTAAAAGTTTTAACCATGGCAATCCAGTATCTTGCTGGGTAGGATCTTTAAAAAGAAAGTAATAGGACTTACCAAATCCCAAAATTGATCCAGGATTAAGTAAAGTTTCAGACCTTACAACCTCACCATTAATCGAAACCTCAGCACCTTTTGCAGGATCAACAAATATGCTGAAATTAATATCATCTACACTAGTTTCATCAGAATTTGTAGAAGAGTTTATTTTTTTATATAAATAAGCATGAGGCTCCAAAATATCTGATGAAAATAATTCAATGTGATACTTGATGCCACCTTTTGAATAGGGGCCAACAATAATTGTTGGATCGTCAATCTTGTGCAGAAGCTTGTCAGAAGAGTTTCTAAAGCCTTGCATCAATAACAAATATGGAACATACAAAGGAGCAACAACATTTTCACTATGTGTTCCATTAGATTTTGAATGTGGTGACAAAGGTACTAATTCTTTAGTGCCTGAATCTATGCTTTTACTGGCACTTGACGTTTCTGAACTTTCAAACAAACTTAAATCAGATGAGCTTCGCCCTAGTCCTTCTGCAGTGTTAATAAAGCTGGAGGATTCAGCATCTTGCTTACGACGAAGTTCAAACCTTCTAAAACGATTACCTGTTGGCTTCCAAAGGGATTGCAAAACTAAAGGTTTTTCATTTTCATTTACAATACGTATATACTCTGTGTTCCATATTGTTTGTTCATCTTCTTCCCCTTTTTTGGGTCTATTTTGTTGTTTTGTATTATAACTTGCATTTGGTGATTGAAAAGTACCAACAACATCACACAGGACAAAGTCTTTAGGGTCTGCATTTTCAAAAGCATATCTCTCAAGTGCCATTTGGATAACTTCCTGAGCACTTGAAATTGTTGACACGCGAACTGCTTTGTAATTTAATCCTGCAGAAATATTATCTCCAAAAACTTTTAAAATCCCTGGTGTCAATTTATTAGTAGATAACTCTGTATTGTTGTATTGGAGATCTTTTTTTTTCTTGTGAAACATTTTACTAATAGATCTTGGATGTTGGGTTCTTGTAGTTACAGATTGTTTTTTTACTTTTTGAATACTCTTTGGATTATTGTTTTCATCATTATCTTGATCATAAAAAATTGAAGAGCTTGAAAATGATAAAGATTTATGTTTATTTTCATTTAAACTACTCTCAATAAGTTCGCTTGATTCTTTATTCTTTGAAGACGTATTTAAATTTACTTCTGAAGCTGTTGATAAAGATGATTTTAAATTCTTTGTGTTGTTTACACTTACTAACATTTTTTCATTCAAAACATTTTCTTTATCCCAATCTACCGAAGTATCAGATATATCAGACTTAGCAGATTCAGTTATTTCATCTGTATCAAAACTGCTTTCAGTATTAAGAGGAGTAATTTCAAAACTAGGTACTGTTTTACTTTTTTTCTTTTTTTTAACAAGTGGATCATCTGTTTTTTTAACTTTATTTTCAATTTTGTCTTTACCAAATAGTTTTTTTTTTTTTTCTTCTTTTGATGAGCTATATTGACTTACACTATCTTCTGGTTTAATTGAAATGTTTGAATTATTTTCACAAAGAATAAATCTAGGAATTTTTTTATTGCTAATTGCACGAGCCAAAGGACATTCTTCATTCAATAACAACGCAGTTTCATCTAAATACATAAATATAAGTTAGGTCCTTATTTTTTAAATGCTTTGCTACTCGCCTTTATATTGCTCTATTGACTGAAAAAATAATTCATAAAAATTAAGAGCAGATAATATTTCTGGTAGTTTATATGTCCTACAGATTAAACTTACATTCACCCTCAGAACTCTTCGCAGCCATCCCTCAAAAATACACAAGAAAATACACAAGAAGCCAAATTTGGGACAAGTTTTAAAAAAATAAAATTACAAAATAAAATTTCCGAAAATATTGACATTTATTTTGTGCTCAAGCGTCAAAAAACCCTGAAAAAAGCCCCAAATAGTTCCCAAGTAATTTGGCTTTGAGCGCAAGGTAAATCTCAATATTTTGTAATTTTTTTTTTGAATTGTGTTTATAATGGTCCAAATTATTT